TTTTTTTTTTTTTTTTTTTTTAACGGGTAATCGGTTCGGTTCTATTCGATTCGATGCATCATAAATAAATATCATACCCACCCCTAAATGAAATCAAAACCATAACCACCCCATTACACCATCGATTCTTTTTTTTCTCCCCATTCGATTCGGTTAACCGTGATTTTCGATTTTCACAGTTCAAATTGCCATCCCTATCAGCATAATCATTTCAAGATTTTAAAATTGTCACCCGGACATGAAATTTTCCTGAGTTTAGTATACTATTATTTAATTCACATTTATTATTTTACTAGCATTTCATTTGCTTCTGAAGAAAAATGTTTTTTTCTCAAGGATTAAAGAGTTATTTTAACTTTTTTTTCTTTTCTGGGGCAATCTGTTGGAGCAGTAAATTAATTTGCAAATTGAATAGCTTTCATTCAGAGAACAGTCTAAACTATGTAAGTATAATTTCTTGCTTTTCTTTTCTTTCTTTCTTTTTTTTAATAATTAATGTAAATGCAATGTTCACTGCAGTTGAGAGAAGCTTCTTTTCTTTTTACTGTTTTTCCTTTTGTTTCTGGGTGCAATTTCACAATTTAGTTCAATGTTGTTTTCAGTTTCTGAGTTTTTTCATTTATACTTCTGGGTTTTGCATGGTTTCCTATTTCTTATACAAATAAGATTTTCACTTTCGTTTTATTTTTGTATGGTCACAAAAATGTTGAATTTTTCCTCAGCTCTGCGTGTGAAGTTTTGAGCTTTAAAGGTGTGTTTGGTAGTTAATAGACCATGAGACACGACAATATAATGGACAATATTTTAACTTATTTTACTTTTCAATCCACCTTATCAAATATGTTCCACACGTAAATTGCCTAAAAAATTGAATTCATAGAAGGTTTTGAACTGGTTTTTTTTTTTTTTGGAATACTTATGATTTTCATTTTTGAGCTTTTTCATTCTTTTTCGTGCTTGGTGTGATTGAATTTCAAAATTTTCGTCTTTGATGTACACAATAACCTTAAACTTTATTTGCATTTAATATATCTAACAAGTTGTTAAAGTAGGATGATTGGTTTCAACTTAAATTAGTATCATCAAGTATTTTGGTGGGAATGTCATTATGTCAACAATCTTTACTTTCAGCTATAGAATCAGGGTGAAGTTACAATGGAGTCAAGGGAAGGAATTTCAGGGGTGACAGTAATACCGCCTGAAGCTCCATCAAGCTACAATGTTGCTTCCCGGACAGAAAACTCAACCCCAGGCTTCGGAATACAGCCCATGGCGCCATCTGTGGCGAGCGCAGGCTTGTTGGCTATGTCAGAGAAGAAGAAGAGAGGTCGACCGTGGAAGTATGGACCTGATGGCTCTGCTCGCATGGTGCTTTCGCCAACACCGATATCATCATCACCTCCACTGGCTTCTGGCAACTTCAATGATGAGAAACCGAGTGTTGTGCAGCCAACTGTTTTGGAGAAAAAGCATAAGAATAAAGTTGGAATAGAGAAATTAGGTAATATCAATTCCTCAAGACAGTATTCTATTTTCAAGCCAAGGCTGCACAGTGAATGTGGAAGTGGAATGAGAGTTAATTTGAAAGAGAATGCCTATGGCTACTATCATTTATACTGTGAAAAAAATTATGATACATTAGATTTGTTTAGAGCTAATAATTATGTGATGGGGAATTAAAGATATAATTAGGAAAATAAGAATTAAAATAGAGTTTGATTTACAGTGGCAAGCTATTTGCAGCCTAATTTTTCGTCCTTTTGGCATTATATGAAGGAAACTGCAAAATAATATGCTAAACTCACGTATAAGTCAAGATATTTTCTGTATAAAAATTGGTAAGGGGGTAATAATCATTAGTTTACTGTCTCGGGGATCAAGTTTTGTTAAATTGGTGCAATTGTAGCTTCTCGGGGTTCAGTTAGGCTCTCTGATGATACTATTTGTGCTTCAGAGATGGAAATACATTTACCAATGCTTGCCAAGTTATTACCTTTACAGGTTTTAATGCTATTAATATTGACTTAGGCATTAAATTTCTAATACCTTTTTACTTATATTTGGAAGGTGAATGGGTTTCATGCTCTACTGGTGGAAGTTTTTTGCCCCACCTTATCACTGTCGATACTGGTGAGGTAAGTTTAATAAGATTGAATAAATTAGTAGTTAACGTGGTCTAATTCAGTAGTTTTAAGTCTTTATGATCATATGCACTTTCTCTAAACGCCATGCAGCCTTTTGCCCATAAGTTGTAAATATCCTTACTTTTATGTAATGGAATGGGGAGTCTGAATGTGTTAAGCCCATTGGCCCTTCCATGATACGCAAGCTGTGTAGCCAAAGTAGTTGGCTTGTCTATGACTACAAAACTACTTGTAGTAGATGTTTATAGGATACACAACACATTCTTGTGCACTTCTCAAACAAGTCTTAGACGTGAGGACGAATAGGATCTCACCATCTCCTTGACACCATTGTTAAGGTTTACATGGTTGAAGAAGTTAGTGGGTAAACTATAGTCCAATTACAAGAGCAATAATAAGCAAAATGAAATGAGAAAAACAAATATTTACAGTGGTTCACCCTTAGTGTGGGAGCGACGCTGGCTTGCCGCTGCAGGTCTATACTATGAAGGCGTAGATTACAATGATGTCGTGCCTCTCAGTTTTCTCACCAAAAAAACAGCTCTATTAATGTCCTGTATGTGTTGTAAGAATGTAAAGCTACCTAATGCAAATATGGAAGTGTACAGTAGATTAGGCAGGCTCCACAGAGCCTAACACAAGGCCATATTGGATGATACTTACAAATTGACTTGTTAACTGTGAGCATACATAATACTTGCTGGGAGACATATCTCATACTTATACATAACTTTATAGGATTCTTAATTGTCTGTCTGATGTTGATCTTCTTAGAATAGATTTTGTAGAAAGTCCTTTTTTTGGAAATATGTGGTTAAAAAGTAGGAAAAAGTTATGGGTCACCTGCTAACAATTTTATTGGGAGAATGTGTACTTGAAAATGAGTTTGGAGAAAAATGAGCTTCAAAGAATCTGTACCAAACAGGAATTAAATATGTGTGTGGGATCATAGTGTCTGACACCTGTAGCAAAATTGGTTGATCAAGTAGATTGGTAAGGAAAAATAACAAGACTTGTTGAGTGAAATACAATACAAAGATGAACTTTAAAACATACATTTATTATATGTAATATAAATCTATTTTTGGTGAATATTGTTAGATGATAGAGAACCTATGGTTATTATTGCCTGTGAGGCATTGTTCTAGTGGTTAAAAAACTTAGGGTTGAAGCTTGGTAAGTAAAATGTTTTGAGATGCCCTCCCAAGTCCCAACAATGAATTCTGGAAAATTTTCATTCATATGTGCGATACCCTATTGCATCTCGAAAGAAAACCTAAAAAATGTCAAATTCGAGGAAGATCTGCATCCATGTTTTTTAAAATGTTCATATTTTTGCTAATTTTCTTGCATTGCTACCATTCAACAAGGTTGGACATTCTTCATCATTTATATGGAAGTTCCTTCCACTTCATGTTGTCTTTTGGAATCAGAGAGCCCATGATTGTCAATAATCTCTCTCTTTCATTCTGTGACGTGCCCAATCCCACAACGCCTGCTACTAAATTGTTTCGGCAACTAAACTTGTTATGGGTCAGTAGATGGAAGCGACACGTGACACCGCATTTTAGTGGTGGGACTAGCTTAATCAAATCAGGACATATTTTCCCGGCTTCAGACGTGGATTCTGAGGACCTCACTATCATTCCAAGGCTACTGCTACTAACAATAAGCCACGGTTCGGTTAGCATACACCGTCCGAGGCTCCTTAGCAGCAATTGAAGGCCCACGTACGAAGATCCGCTTATGATGGAGATCTTTGGTGAATGATTGACATGACTTTTATGTAAAGTTTATTTGTGTCTTGTCTTGTCAATGTAAGAGCATTTAATGTTTTGTAAAGTTAGAAGAGTCAACTTGAGTGCTATGATTTGATATCTTGGCCGACAAGATGAGGCCACGTATAAAGTGATCCAAAGGTCACCATTTGAGTTGTAACACTATAAATTCCCCCACCATGTAGCACAAAAGGGACTAATGCAAAAATTGAAGAGCAAACTGAATATTTTGGAGCAACAATTTCTCTCGCTTTAACAAGTGATTTTTACAACCTATTTGTATTACGAATCGTCTCTTTAACGATTGGTTTCTTATACAATCGCATTACATTCTTGCCGGTGGCCTGAACGGAAATGTCTCGTGCCTTTTAGCTACTCTCACGCCCCTTTCTTGGAGCCATCTTGACCGTTGATCGGCATTAGCTTGTTGGATCAAGCTTGCGCGTGCACGAGCGGGCCCGACATCTGTTGGCAACATTTTCAGGGGTCAACAAAACTCAAATATGACATATCTTTCATTGAGTTTTATTTTTCTGTATCTAAACATGTTTTGTTATTCCAGGTCCGAATAATCTATTCTACCCTATTTGGTGGAGATTAAAACCAGATTTTTAGCAGATTTTGATAAAAATTAATGAAATGTGTGGTTGAATTGTTGTGGGTCCCATTAAATATGTGGTTAAAATTAATTTTTGACTTTGACTTTCATAAAAATATCGATTTAAATTTCTATCAAATAGGGGTTATATCTTCTTTATTTCTTTGTTTCTCTGATTAGAATTCTCTATTATACCACATGTCTAGTTATGCTGGACTACTTTGGCTCTAACAAATAAGCTTCCTAATCAACTTGAGGCAAAGTGGAGATGGAACTCAAAAATATTGTTGTAGGTAGTTGTATAATTTCAAGGAAAGAGATGTATATTAAAACTAAAAAGCGCTTTATTTTTGATAACTTAATATGTGACTTTGCTTGACATAGTTAACACATCACTAGCTATCGGTATCAAGGGAATTGAATAGCGTCCATCTTGATTGTCTAGACAGGCACAACTTCTTGCAGTTTTCTGGATTAAGAATTTGTTACAAGGGCTTTTTTGTATTTCCTTTATGACATCTATCTATTGGTGCATATTACATAGATTATTTCTAATTAGTTTTGTTGTTTACTTAGGATGTTTCAAATAGGATTATGTCATTCTCTTTAGAAGGACCTCGAGCTATTTGCATAATTTCGGCTGTTGGTTTGATCTCGACTGTTACACCTCGGCAACCTAATTCGTCTGGGAATACCTTGACTTATGAGGTATACCACTGATTTAACTATCACACAATTCTTGTAGCATTTCTCCATTTCATCTAATTTACTCTGATCCTGTGTTACATCCTCTTTCAATTCGATCTCCCTTTTTAATAATCAAACTTCAATACCTAAAACCTGCTACCCTCAGTTCATTCATGACAAATGCGAATAGTTAAGGACTTCTTTCTGTTTGTATACTTCTTTGGCAATCTCCTAAACACATAAATGGATAGATCTCCCTGACATAAAGCTACACTGGTTTCCTGAGACATTTGAGTTGCACCTTAATTTGTGTTCGATCGCCCTCTCCCATAATTTCATATTTATCCACATGGAATTCCTGAATGACTCCCTGTCTTCCCATTTTGCAAACTTATCTTTTTCTAAAGCTTCTGAATATTTGTATTTTGATCAGTTTCTGTAGCATCCTCCTTTAATCTTAACTGCTATCTGGAAGTTCTCGTTCCACCATGTTTACTTATCAGTGGTTTTCTACCTTAGATTCTCCTGAAACCTCCTTGGCTATGTTTCTAATCCAAGTACACTTATCAGTGTTGGCTTCTTACCTAACCAATGGTTATCCCATCAGTTCAAAATCAATGTTCTCCCCTATTTGTATTGGATTCTGCTATTTCTTTCCAAGTTCATGTGTACTGTATAATTTGGTAACCAGAGGGATTCTTCCTATAATTCATTTATAGGGTCGGTTTGAAATTCTCTCTCTGTCTGGATCTTTTACTCCTTTTGACATGGAAGACTCTAGATCCGGCATCATGAGCACTTCTTTGGCAAGGTCTGATGGTCGTGTTGTGGGAGGTTTGATTGCTGGATTGATGATTGCCGCTAGCCCTGTATAGGTAATTCTTTGACTCTCTCACTATATCTCAACTGCTTATAAGATTGTGAAGTTTACTATTTTTGGTGGTGCAAAAGTATCTTCTCCCTTTTCCTAATTTCTGAAAGGCCTCCTGAGTACTTGTTGTTGTGAAATATATAAGAAAATCTGAAAAAAATTAAAGAACTCCAAGGCACGAAAATCGTTATCTTTTAAGAAATATTTCTCCCCTTTCCAACAAAGTCACGACCGGAGTATGATAGAAAACCTCTCTCAGGATACAATGGAGGCGTTTGATTCAAATTGTGACTATTTGATCAAACCAAGAAACACTCTATAGAGAAACTGACGATGCCAAGAGAAAGATAGAAGAATAGAAATGAATGGAGGCAACCTTTNAAATGAGAATTCGCCCAAAATATATAGAAGTTGAGGCAACCTTTTGAATAGGTGTGTCCCTTGAAATGAATGGACGCATCTGTTGGAAGAAACATACATATTCAAAGTCTTCTGAAAATAAAATTCTCTTTCGAGGGCGTTGCCCCCGAGCCCCCATGGGGGGCGCTGCTCCCTCGACCTCCGCGACCTGACCGGGCAGGTCGATCCCCATTGCGTAGTGGCAAACACTAGTCGGGGCGGTAAAATATTTGCAAAACAAAACATGAACACACAAAAGATGAAAGATGAAAAATATCTAACACTTGTGGTTATGTTTTCCTTGTCAAATGAATCTGGTTAAAATTGCACGTGCCATCTACTTCTATTCTCAATCTTTTATTTCTCGACGTTACGCTCCTCCACCCTTCATATTATGTGCAAATGACCGCATCTACGGTTTCATCCAAAATAACCATCGACTTGATGTAATACGACAAAATTACCCTCAACCTTTGTTTGCTTATCTAAGGTGGTAGGAATCTTGTCTTTTTGCATCAACTTAACGGTATTTTTAACGCAAATCCTCAATAGGGACCATCTGTGCCTGTTAATGAAACTGTGGAGGAGTTCAGTGCCAAGAAAACAAAGGTTGGAGATGAAAGTGCAAATGCGGATATATATTGTGGGTGACGAGAGAAAATTATCCTGATTTAAGACATGATGCATCAGTTTTCCTGTTTGTTCTTGAAGTCGTCTTTTTCACTCTTTTTTCTCTGCAAATATGTCAGGTAATTGTGGGCAGCTTTCTACCGAGCGGCCACCCCGAGTTAAAACCCAAGAAGCCGAAAGCAGAACCCACATTGAATATGAACCATCAATCCCGGTTGGTATCCCTCGCTCTTTTGACGTGGAGAATAAGTGCTTCAGCACAGGCAATATTGCGCCTCAATCTACGGCCCAGACGAATAATTGGGCAGCTGTTCCCACTGCAGAAAACTCGAGCAAGTCCAGTGCAGACATCAGTATATCCTTGCAGGGATAGGAACCTCATGGACAGCAATCAGTGCCATTTTATGGACTCTTCAAAATCTTCTTCCCGTTCCCATTATAGAGTCACCTAAAACAGATCATCATCATCATGCTTTAGCGTATTTTACCAGATTCTCTGATCTTTTTTTCCTTGTCAATGTTTATTAGGAAGGAGAGTTGAAAGGTGGAGTCATTTGTTGAAAGCACGCCTTTGTCTGTAAAAACTTTGGGTTCAAATGGCAAATATAAGAGGGGAAAATTCATATATAAGATTTATCTACGTACCATTTCAAAAATAAGAAAATAATTTTGAAATTTCTAAAATCAGATATTTTAACATATACATACACTATATATATATACTAGGTGTAAGCAACGTGCAATACACGTTTGCCTAGTTTATATTTAATAGTTTTGTTTAAGAATTAATTTGTTATTAATAAACATGTAATTTTTTTGGTTAATTAAATAATTAATGATATAATGTTTATGTAATTGATAAATAATTAGATGTGTGATTTTGATGTTGTGATGTAAGTTGGTGAGATCGAAGAAAATAAGCAGAAGTTGACAAATTTGGAGAAATGGCTAAATTGTAAGGAATCCAAAGTTCGGGGACTAAAATGTAAATACTTGAAATTTGTGCCGAACCTCACGATGAAGATTTGAGAGTGTTCGGAATCAATTGGATAAAGGAAGACATCAATGGAATCAAATTTAGTCAAAAGATGATCACAAATCAATTTCCAATCGAAAAGTTATGCTCCGATGTTTTAGTCTCATATTGAGACCTATTTTTGGCATAAAAAGTGATCGAATTGGAGAATGATGTCTGAATCAAAGTTGAGATGAGTTAGCTTTCCAACGCATTTTGAATCGCCTCAATCGGACATCAGAATACAAAGTAATGATAGAAACACTGAAAAAAGGTGCAGTTGCCTGTTTAAAACAAGAAATTCCGTTACATAGTCCGTTAAAACAACAAATTCCGTTAGTTTTTCCGTTAAAAACAAGAAATTCCGTTACATAGCCACTTTTGATATATAGAAGATATATAACCCACCCCACCTCAACCACCCCCTACCATTCCGATGACCGTTCCAACGATTATTCCGGTGACCGTTTCTACGATTCTTCGATTTCGGCTACTATTCCAATGACCGTTTCGGCGACTATTACAGGGTCACAGTTAAAAAATTTTGTAGGTCACAATTAATTCGTTGATCGCAGATTTCAAAAATAGTTGATCACAGATTTTTTCACGATCACAAATTATATAATTTTTAGGTCACAGATAACAAAATTATTGGTGATGGATTATCGAATTTTAAGGTCGCAAATTATATGTTTAGTCACAAAAGGTTACATGAATACAGATTTCCAAATTATTTGGTCACAGATTATATAATATTAGGTCACAAATAACAAAATGATTGGTCACAGATTATATTTTTAGTCACGGGTTATCGAATTTTAAGGTCACGGGTTAAATTTTTAGTCACAGAAAATCAAAATGACCAAATCCACCACCACCATATCTGTACTATCCACACTGCCACCACCTCACGATCTGAAAATCACAATCAGAAACAAAAACCAAAACACCGGCATCACACCTCCACCACATCGCAATCTGAAAAGCACAAACAGAAGGAAACAAAAATCAAAAATTAGACACAAAACCGCAATCACCTCGCGATCTGAAAACCACAAACAAAAAAGGAAACACAAACCACAATTACCACTTCATAAAATTACAATCGCCACAATTGCCGAAGACAACAAGGAAACAACACACATCGCACAGATCCACCATCGCACATTTCGAAGACCCACCACCACCGCATACCACCACCATACACCACACCACCCCACAACACACCACCACCACCATATCCAACCACCACCTCAACACTGATCCACCGCCATGACCACATCACACAACCACCACACACCACCACCGGAATTGTGGTGGTACAATATGAACAACAATGAGCTCAAGTACAACGGGAGGCTGATTTTTGGGATTGTGGATGTGTAGGGTGCCGACGATGAGGCTGTGGTCGACAGCGAGAGGGGCAGTAATGGTTGTAGTCTGCCAACGCTGACTTAATAGCTTGGATTTCGAGACTTACTCGGATAGGTGGAAGTCGACTGTACATGGTGATGACCGACAGAGGTTGCGACAGTGACGGTGGGTGTTGTTGCGAAAGGAAACGAAGTAGGTGAGCAACGACGGGTTGTTGATGACGGGACTTAGATGAGAGAAGGGAGAGGAGGATAGACGGCGGGCAGAGGTGGCGGCTCAGTGGAAGAGACACTCATTCCACGTCGCCGAGAGAGAGAGAGAGACGGGGGGTGAGGGAGAAATGAGAAATTAGGGATTTAAGGTGCGGTGGGGTGGGGTGGGGTGGGGTGGGGTGGGATAAATTATTTTTTATAATATTATTATTAATATTTAATTAAATATAAAAAACATGTATCTATATATAAAATATCTGATTTTTGAAAATTAAAATTTGAAATCTGATTTTTGAATTTGAATCTTGAAAAGTAGGGTTTCATGTAATTGCCACAACATAAGTCCCTACTTAACAATGGAACATAATTATGTAAATAAAACAATAAATACGGGCCATTGCGACTTTTTTTGGGCTTCATTAATATGTTTGGTACACAATACTCAATATGATTGGACATAATAATTGATGAGTTTAACAATTCGTTTGATGTAGCTAAAAATTATATTTTTAGTTAGATTTCGGTAAAAGTTGATGAAACGATTGTTTGAAATGTTGATAAAAATTGTGAATTTCATTAAATTTATGGTTAAAATTAATTGTTCATTTTGACTTGAATTATAATCAACTATTAAGCTATATAAAAGATGGGTTAAGTTTTTTTTTTTTTTTTTATCTTAATTTTTCATTACCGTTTTATGTATTTTACAAGACATGCTAATTACGTTCTTAGTTAAGCTTGTTGAGTAGTGAATTTTTGGGTAACAATATGAGTGGACCCAGATTTTTTGCGCTGTGAGGTCAAAAATCAAAATACAATTTTTTTTTTAAAAATAAAACATCATAATATTAAATGAAAATAAGTTAATATGTGTTTTGATAATTTGAAAACGTCGTATAATTACATCATTATCATTATTGTCCAATGAATTTTGCTACTTATATAGTTTTATTTACTATCTTGTTGATAGATGTTGAGCTGACGGTGAATAAATCAAATTGAATGTGGGAAGTAAATGAATTGAAATGAAATTCAATGCAAATGTAATTCGAAAGTAATTCAAATTACAATTAATCCGTAATTATCCTACAGTTTTTGACGTCATATTTCATATAAAATTTCCTAATAAAATTATGTAAATTATATTGATGAATTTATCGTGTAAAAATAATAAACGAAATAATTGAATTTTTTTTAAAGAAAATACGAGCTACACGCCTCTTTTTGACGTGTACATTAGACACATGTTTTACTATTTTCGATATTCGTTTGAACCATTCAATATGATTACGATGTAATTCTCGAAACAAGCTTGTAGATGACTCAAGGGATTTGTGAATTCGACTAGCTTACAATTGCTAACAAATTTTTAAAGTTAACATATTATCGAAATTTTTAAAATATTAATGTGAAACGGGGTTATTTTGACGCACCATAACTTTCGCTACGACAGGTGTTTCGTACGTCATTAAAAAGCAAAAAATATGTCGTGAGCACTTTGAAATGGTACTAAAAATGTAATATTTTGACTTCATTTGACATTCCATAATGAGTGCAACCATCACGGTTATTTTTTCAGATAATGAATTTGAGAAAAGTCGTGTCTTTGCTTTAAAGGCTCAAAATGACTTATTTTAACGAAAAAGATAAAAACACATTTGTTGGGATCACTTGACCCCACCACCCATGAGTGACGATCACATCGCACAGATCCACCATCGCACATTTCAAAGACCCACCACCGCCGTATACCACCACCACACACTACACCACCCTACAACACACCACCACCACCATATCCAACCACCACCTCAACACAGATCCACCGCCACGACCACACCGCACTACCACCACACACCACCACCGGGATTATGGTGGTACATTATGAACAATAGTGAGCTCAAGTACCGCGGGAGGCTGATTTTTGGGATTGTGGATGTGTAGGGTGCCGACGATGGGGCTATGGTCGACAGCGGGCAGGGTAGTAATGGTTGTGGTCTGCCAACGCTGACTCAATAGCTTGGATTTCGAGACTTACTGGGATAGGTGGAAGTCGACTGTAGATGGTGATGACCGACGGAGGTTGCGACAGCGACGATGGGTGTCGTCGCGAAGGGAAACGAAGTGGGTGAGCAACAACGGGTTGTTGATGACGGGACTTAGATGAGAGAAGGGAGAGGGGGATAGACGGCGGGCAGAGGTGGCGGCTCAGTGGAGGAGACACTCATTCCACACCGTCGAGAGAGAGAGGGAGAAATGAGAAATTAGGAATTTAAGGTAAGGTGGGGTGGGGTATATATAAATTATTTTTTATAATATTATTATTAATATTTAATTAAATATAAAAAACCTGTATCTATTTTTTGAAAATTAAAATTTGAAATCTGATTTTTGAATTTGAATCTTGAAAAGTAGGGTTTCATGTAATTACCACAACATAAGTCCCTACTTAACAATGGAACATAATTATGTAAATAAAACAATAAATACGGGCCGTTGCGATTTTTTTTGGGCTCCATTAGTATGTTTGGTACGCAATACTCAATATGATTGGACATAATAATTGATGAGTTTAACACTTCGTTTGATGTAGCTAAAAATCATATTTTTAGTTAGATTTCGGTAAAAGTTGATGAAATGAGTGTTTGAAATGTTGATAAAAATTGTGAATTTCATTAAATTTATGGTTAAAATTAATTGTTTATTTTGACTTGAATTATAATCTACTATTAAGCTATATAAAAGATGGGTTAAGTTTTTTTTTTTTTTTTT